GTTTCGGGACTAGGTTTATTCTCCAGCGAGGTCGTGGGGCTGCATTGTTCGACCATTTTGCTATGTCTTAATTTACTCGTGTTGTGATTCTCTAACCTATTCAGCGGACTGGCTTCGGATTTATTAGAGGGTGTGGATTTGAACTGTCCCAAATTCCAGGAGTTACTGCTTTTGATCGATTCTATATGGACGTCGGGACTATTCGGGACTTGACTATCGGGTTTTTGGACGGGACTGAAATGCGGACTCCCGTGGTCCATTTTGACCGATTCCGACCTCGGGGTAGAAGAAGAATCCGGTTTCAATTGAGCGAGTGGACTTGACAAACTTGAAGTGGGCGTTCTAGATTTTTTATCTAACAATGAGGACACAGTCTCTGAAACATCTCTCGACGTTTCAACCGATCCCTTATTATGTATGGAAGATAACGATCGTTGATCGGGAGCGTTGGCGCTCGCGCTGGATACACTTTTAGGTTCCTGGAAAACGCCGGAGGAAGACATATCCGAAGATTTTTGTTCAGCTTTGGCACCACTACTGTTAGATACGTTACTCTTTGGCGATGCTTTAACAACACTACTGGATTTCGATTCGGTCTCTTTCTTCGTCGCTGTGTCCGTATCTTCATCATCGTCGGAATCCTGTTTCTTCGCTTTGTCGGGGTCAAAACTGTCCTTGAGGTCTTGCAGCTCCTTGCCGGTGTAGAGCCGCTTCATGCCCCGCGGCAAGGCGCGACAAGAGCTGAGATTGAGCGACTCCAGATGTGGACATTTCAGCAAAACTTTCTTTACTTGTTCCAAAAATACCGCCGATCCACATAAATTGAGTATTCTGAAATTACAATTTTAGTTTTAAAATTTGTGTGATTTCCCAAAACTTTCTTAAAATATTTTCTACGAGCTGTTCCCCTGCGGCTTCATCCGCATGAAATTATCATTTTTTTATTTTATTGTTAAAGTGAAATTTTCAATTGCAAATGTCAACATTTTAATGCACAAATGACAATGAAGGTCTTTAACATTCGATAACATTTACCGTTACCATGGCAACCTTGCTTCCTTGATGTTGTCAGCTTCTAGTTTATGGTCTCTTTCCCACATGGAGGTTTTCTAAAGCGTATCTTAAGTGCAATGCTTTTATTAAAGAAAGAATTATTCAAAAATATACTGTGATTGCTGACATCCCACGCTACAAAGTAGTTTGTGTTTATGTTTTATTATATATAGAAGTATAAATTAATATTAAAAAGTTTGTATGGTAATTTTTGGTGTGTGACACATATAAATGACAAATTTGTCGGTGTGAAGAGACCTGAGCTTGCTGTGCGGCGAGTCGGCGAGCGCGGAGACGGCGTCGTTGAGGACGCGCGCGGCGGACGCCCACGACAGGTCCAGCTCCAGCAGGCTGTGCGACCACTTCTCGCAGATCAGCTCCAGGCACGCGCTGCTCTGCCGCGTCACGTTGCAGCCTGCCACACGCTTTACATTACATAAACTTTTCATTTTTAGACAAAAACACATATAAGTAAATTTTATATTTGAATATCACTGATTCTTCGCTTTCGCCCGCAACGATGCCCGCGTGGAATTTTTAAAAAAAAAACAAAAGTGTTCTTCCAGACTATTCTTTATATCAATATCAAAATTCATCGAAATTTGTTTAGTCGTTTAGGCTACAAATTCTAACAAATATCCATCCATTCATCTAAACTTTCGCAATAAATTAAAATTCCAAACACTATTCCAAGTGCTACAAACATAATCGTTAGAACGGATTTAAACCTTAAATGGATGATGATGCATTTATACATCATTCGTTTCTTCCTTACCCAATAGAATAGTCTATTGGAAAAAACATTTTTCTTTTTTTCTCTTAACCTATGTTCAATTTATGGTATTTAAAAAGAAAAAATCGTGCATTTAAGTGTTAAATAAGATTTTCGTGATAGACACCAGAAGGTATTTCTAAAAGTGATTATTTGCAGTAGTGTACCTCCCAGGAAGAGGTGCTGGAGGTCCCAGGCGGGCACTCTGACGAGGCCGGAGTCCGTGAGGCGCTGCAGGCC